ATTTTGCACATATCTACAGAGAATTTATTCCTCTTTACAATGGTATATAATTTATTTTGATTTGCTCAAAATTCAACAAAGATATGGACAATTGCTCAAGACATGTCAAGATTTTGAAAATTTTCCAGAACCAAAATTAAGATTTCCTTTTTATTTTTGTTTGTGTTTAAAATGGCCATTTGAAAATGATGTCAGGGTTGTTTTCCACTAATTTTGATCGGCTCTATCGATTAGTAAAGTAAAAATTGAGAAAACTGAAAAATGGAAAAATCGAGTTTTTCATAAGGGTATCCCCTTTAAATTCTGATTTCAAAATATTCAAACCTCAATTGCTCGGTAACTGTTAAACAAATTCTATCAAAATTTTTAGCATTTGTAGCTCTTGATAAGCTCTAAAAACCTTGTCATTTACAATATTCCCAGGTTTATAGTTTTTGAGCAAATTGAGTTTGAAGTTTTTGGCAAAATTTGGACTAAAAATCCACTTTGAGGCTCAATTACTTGAAAACTATTTGAGCGATTGAACTCAATTATGCACGGAACTATAGATAATTTAATACTCTTTCCAATGATATATATTTTATTCCAATTTGCTCAAAATTTGATAAAGACATGGGCAATTGCTCAAGACATGTCAAAATTTCGAAAATTTTCCCAGAGCCAAAAATAAAATTTTCTTTTTATTTTTGTTTCTGTTTAAAATGGCCTTTTGAAAATAATGTTAGGGTTGTTTTCCACTAATTTTGACCCGCTCTATCGATTGGTGAAGTCAAAATTGAGCAAAACTCAAAAATAAAAAAATCGAGTTTTTCATAAGGGTAACCCCCTTTGAATTCTGATTTCAAAATATTCAAACTTCAATTGCTCGGTAACCGTTGAGCAAATTCCTTCAAAATTTTCCGCATTTGTAGCTCTTGATAAGCTCTCAGAACTCTGCCATTGACAATATTCCCAGGCTTATAGTTTTTGAACAAATTGAGTTTGAAGTTTTTGGCAAAATTTTGACTAAAAATCAACTTTGAGGCTCAATTACTTAAAAACTATTTGAGCGATTGCACTCAATTATGCACGGATTTATAGAGAATTTAATGCTCTTTCCAATGATACATAATTTATTCCAATTTTCTTGAAATTTAACAAAGATATGGCAATTGCTCATGACGATGTCAAGATTTTGAAAATTTTACAGAACCAGAAATAAGATTTCCTTTTTATTTTTGTTTCTGTTTAAAATGGCTATTTGAAAATGCTATAAGGGTTGTTTTCTACTAATTTTGGCCCGCTCTATCGATTGGTAAAGTCAAAATTGAGCAAAACTCAAAAATAAAAAAATCGAGTCTTTCATAAGGGTACCTGAAGTTTGCCTGAAGGAATTCTGATTTCAAAATATTCAAACCTCAGTTGCTCGGTAACCGTTGAACAAATTGCATTGAAATTTTCAGTATGTTTAACTCTTATCAAGTTCTGAAAGATCCGTGATTTACAATATTCCGAGGTTTATAGTTTTTGAGAAAATTGAGTTTGAACATAAAGCTCGGACAAGATACCAGAATAGAATGAGGATCGGATTATACTGTGAATAACTGAAAAATTCACTAAGAATTTTCTTGTTTTGAACGGATTTTAGATATTTGAAGTAACAAAATTACTTCAAGTAGGTAATATATTTAAAGTATTTTACATAGGTACTTCAAGTACTAAAAATATACTTCAAATAATGCCACTTTACTTGAAGCTCAATGTTTTTACTTGAAGTAAATTACTTGATTAAATTCAAGTAAATTTCAAGGGGACTTGATAATCAAAGTATAATTTTAAAAAACTTGTACTTGTACTTCAAGTAAATCTATTATTATTCACTTCATACTTGTACTTCAAGTACTTTCGTAATGTACTTGTGTCGGCTCTGATTACCTGACATTGTATCTAATGAAATGTGTTAAATCATCAATCAAGGTTTAGTAATTCCAACTATCTGAAAAGTACTTTGCAATGCTTTTCACACATCGAAAGCTGTTTCATGATCTTCAATGTACTCTTTCCTTCCGAAAAGAATTCTGCGGAAAGCTTTGGAATAGAGAACATCATTGTCAAATAGAGAAAGGCAGAATCATTACAAGCTCGATTGGAAATGCAAAGATCAGCTCAAGTCAATAATAATTATTGAAATAAATTCAAAACTAAAGTCTAAAGGCGGCTTTGTATATGAGAATAAGCATGTCACACACACTATAATTCTAATTTTTCTCAATACTCTATTATTCAACTGGACAATACGTAGGCTAATAAAAAAATATATACGAACAATCCATTAAGGTGTGAACAGAACAATGAGACAGTGGGTACTTTAAGCACTGGTAATTGTTACAAATATTGCAGATTGTAGGCTGGTGTTGCAAGACGTTTAGCATTTGAATTAGACCAAAGAAAAATCTGTTTAGCTTTAAAATTAAATTCCCAAATCCTTGAATAAAATTGATACATTACTCCAGAGATACATTGATACATCGGGAATTGGGTCAATTTCCTTTTAAAGTCTTTTTTTTAATTAAACTCCACAAAGATACAAGAAAAATAAATCCTCATTCACCTTAATAGTTTTTACTTCTAAAACACCGCGGTCTTCGTTAACTTTAAATTAACATGCAAAAGTCGGAGTTGCATTCCATCATCCTGCTACAACTTACATTTACTTTTATTCTGGGGCGTCAGCGGAGAAAAAGAAGAAGCGTTTCAGAATTTTATCAAGATTAATTGGCAAGTCAAAGGGGATTTTTACAGAGAAAAGATTAGCTGCACCCATAGCTGCGATAATGTTATTGCATAATATTTGACTGAGGGTAAAACTATACTAAACTAATTGAATTATGTATAATAAGGAAATAATGTAATATCTTTCATGGTCGGTAGTTTAGGAATTTGAATAAGTATAATAGCCTTTCGAGTATTTTATTATTTCCTGCTTTGTTTAATCTAGAATCTAGATTTTTTTCTGTTTCCCTAACGTTACATACATAAAACTTAAAAGGTTTTTGACTAATTGAAGCCTCTCATTGGAGAGTGGCTGGTGCTGAAAGACCACCTTATGGTGAAGTACAAATTTGGTTCAAAGAGTAGGAAATTTGATTCTCGTTTCTCAAAAGAGTTGAGAAGTGATATTTTCATGTTATTTTCCTCCTTTCTGCCAAAAGCTCCTAGTAGGAAAATGAAACCACCTAAAACTATTTTCTATAACCTATAAGACAGGAAACCAATCTTGAAACTTTCAATCGTAATAATGTAATATCTTTCATGGTCGGTAGTTTAGGAATTTGAATAAGTATAATAGCCATTCGGGTATTTAATTATATCCTGCTTTGTTTAATCTAGAATCTATTTTTTTTCTGTTTCCCTAACGTTACATACATAAAACTTAAAAGGTTTTTGACTAATTGAAGCCTGTTTTTGGAGAGTGGCTGGTGCTGAAAGACCACCTAATGATGAAGTACAAATTTGGATCGAAGAGTAGGAAAATTTGATTCTCGTTTCTCAAAAGAGTTGAGAATTCATAAGGAAGTGGTAGTTTCATGTTATTTTTCTCCTTTCTGCACCTTATGGTGAAGTACAAATTTGGATCAAAGAGTAGGAAATTTGATTCTCGTTTCTCAAAAGAGCTGAGAATTCATAAAGAAGTGGTAGTTTCATGTTATTTTTCTTCTTTCTGCCAAAAGCTCCTAGTAGGAAAATGAAACCACCTTGAACTATTCTCTATAGCCTATAAAAAAGGAAACCAATATTGAAACTTTTAATCGTAATAATATAATATCTTTCATCGTCGATAGTTTAGGAATTTGAATAAGTATAATAGCCTTTCGAGTATTTTATTATTTCCTGCTTGGTTTAATCTAGATTCTAGATTTTTTTCTATTTCCCTAACGTTACATACATAAAACTTATAAGGTTTTTGACCAATTGAAGCCTCTTATCGGAGAGTGGCTGGTGCTGAAAGACCACCTAATGGTGAATTACAAATTTGGATCAAAGAGTAGGAAATTTGATTCTCGTTTCTCAAAAGAGCTGAGAATTCATAAGGAAGTGGTAGTAAAGAGTTGAGAATTCATAAGGAAGTGGTAGTTTCATGTCATTTTCCTCCTTTCTGCCAAAAGCTCCTAGGAAAATGAAACCACCTATAGAACTATTCTCTATAGCGTATAAGAAAAGAAACCAATCCTGAAACTTTTAATCGCAGTTAACTTTCCTCGTCGTCTTGATTGGGTTTCGCAATTTGAAGACATAAAAGAAGTCGTTGTTGTTATCCAATTCAATTAAGTTCTAGTAAAATAATGTGTTTCATATCGCAAATGCCCTTGACAATCTAGCACGCCTAATGCGTTTTACAACTTTACGCGATTTTTAAATCTAGTTATGATATTGCCTTGACACGAACTCAAAGTAATTTGCTGTGTATTTTTATACGATAAATTCTAGCTTTGACATTAAATGAACATTTATAGTTATCTAGTTTTTGACCTGGAATATTATGATGCAAAACCAGTTAATTTTTTAATTAAGAAAAAGGCAAGGCCAAGGTTAAAATTTTAAATTCAACACTGTCTGAAAGTCAAATAACTCTTTTTAGAAAATTTAGTTTTCTCGAGAAGTAATAATTCCATCTTATGGCTGCGCATATATCATCTCTTTTGAAGCTCCGAAACTGGAAGTCGTAAATCTGAATGGCAATTTGCCGCTACTTTAAAGTGGACTATTGAAGTAGTAGTTTTACTTACTACAATTTGCTGCAATGAACTAAATACAATGAATTTTGGACTTTATATTAACGGCTCACGGAATCGATTCTCAATCAAGCTTGAAACTTCTTTTACTTAATTAGCAGATAAGAAGTATTTTCTCTATGATGTTTAAGTGCAGCATCAATACTTATAAACTTAAAATATTTGTTTGCCTAATTATTAATTAATTTAATTAATCTCCAATCCAATTTGGTCAAAAGTTTTGTTTACCTTTTTCTCCAAAAATCCTCTTCTCACTGAAAACTTAAAATCCCAAATCCACCAAGAAAATTTTTGTTATTCGAACACTTGAACAAAAACTTTGCCAGAAAGTTTCCGGACAAAGTCGCGCCTCGCGAAATATCGCCCAACGAGATTCGAGAAGAGACACCGACCCGCAGAGTTTTACGGACAGAAATGACTCCGGGTCCGGCTCCGGTTCACTTTCTAAAACGGCGAGCGCAAATTCACGCGCACCGAGTTTGATACTACAGGTTGGGAGAGGATTGTGCGATCTTTTGCTCGTTTCTTCATAATTGAAGTCAGTACCTTCTTAAAGCCAGTTCTATTAGTATGAAAAACGTTGCACTAAAACCTGTACTCCAACTTGAAAATTAAAAAATCAAGAAAAAAACACGAATTTGTTTTGAGCAATGATAGTCTTTTTCTCAACATTTCAGACATTTTGAACGCATTTTCATATGAAACATGAAGAAAAGTGAAACAAAACATTGAAGTTTTAATTAAAATTAGCCAAATCTTGGGTCTATTTTTGATAGAATTGATGGTCCAACGAATCAAGAGCCAAGTCTAGTGAGAATTTGGACTATTAATCGTTGGACACTTTTACTTAAAGTGATCAGAAGGTGAAATAATCAAGATGATATTCGACTTTTGCACTGACTTTAGGAAAATTCTCCAACGAATCAAGCGCCAGTAAATATTGGGCGTTTGAGGAAAAATATGGACCAAATCTGGAAGCAGAACATAATCAAAATTTGATGTAATTTTGTCATTGGCCCTTGATTTACTGAAGTTGATCAAGTAATCAAAGATTGGTTTCAATCAAAATAGTGTGTAGGTAAATAATTATTCAATGGGCTGTTCAATCAAAATTTTATTATTCCCGGCTCTTGATCGCTTGTTTCAACAAATCAGGAGCCGGTAATAATCAAAATTTTGTACTATTACTGGGGTGTTGACTCACTCTAGGAAAATTCTCTGCAAATCAGAAACCAGTAATTATTCAAAAGTTTAGATCATTTTGGGCTGTACAGGAAAAACATTCAACGAACCAAGAGTTTGCAAAGTAATGACTTAGAATTCAAGATCCAGTTTTGGATCAAGAGTTTACTCTAAGAAAACCAGTAGAATTCAAAATCTGAAGCTTCTAAGAATCTGACAGGATCCAGGATCAAAAAATCTTGAAAGTATCAGAAATTTTGTAAAATAATGAATCTGCTGTAATCAATATTTGATATTCATATTATATTAGAACCATTCAAAATCTTAAGTTTCTAAGAATCTGTCAGGATACAGGATCAAAAGATCATGAAAATCTGCTCCTGAAAGTTTGCAGAATAATGAACCTTGAGTCTTTTTAGAAAAGAATCAAGAAATTTGTAAAATAATGACTCAGAATTCAAGATAGGTACATCATTTCTATTTTTTTTTTAAATATAAGCATAATGAAAGTATCAAGTTTGCAGAAGTGAGTTTTGGGATCTCAAGAGTTTTCTAGAAGAAAACCAGTAGAATTCAAAATCTGAAGTTTCTAAGGATCTAACAGGATCCAGGATCAAAAAATCCTGAAAGTATCAGAAATTTTGCAAAATAATGAATCTTGTAATGCTGTAATCAATATTTGATATTCATATTATATTAGAACCATTCAAAATCTGAAGTTTCTAAGAATCTGTCAGGATACAGGATCAAAAGATCATGAAAATCTGCTCCTGAAAGTTTGCAGAATAATGAACCTTGAGTCCTTTTAGAGAAGAATCAATAAATTTGTAAAATAATGACTCAGAATTCAAGATAGGTACATCATTTCTATTTTTTTTTTAAATATAAGCATAATGAAAGTATCAAGTTTGCAGAAGTGAGTTTTGGGATCTCAAGAGTTTTCTAGAAGAAAACCAGTAGAATTCAAAATCTGAAGTTTCTAAGGATCTAACAGGATCCAGGATCAAAAAATCCTGAAAGTATCAGAAATTTTGCAAAATAATGAATCTTGTAATGCTGTAATCAATATTTGATATTCATATTATATTAGAACCATTCAAAATCTGAAGTTTCTAAGAATCTGTCAGGATACAGGATCAAAAGATCATGAAAATCTCCTCCTGAAAGTTTGCAGAATAATGAACCTTGAGTCCTTTTAGAGAAGATTCAAGAAATTTGTAAAATAATGACTCAGAATTCAAGATACATAATTTCTATTTTTTTTTTTAATAAAAACATAATGAAAGTATCAAGTTTGCAGAATCGAGTTTTGGGATCTCAAGAGTTTTCTAGAAGAAAACCAGTAGAATTCAAAATCTGAAGTTTCTAAGGATCTAACAGGATCCAGGATCAAAAAATCCTGAATGTATCAGAAATTTTGCAAAATAATGAATCTTGTGATGCTGGTATCAATATTTGATATTAGTATTACCTATATTATCGGTTCTTGATTTTGGTTGAACAATAAATCAGGCTATCAAGGGCCGGTAATAATCAAAATTCGACTATTCGCGGCTCTTGATTGCCTTCAGAAAAATCATTTGACGAATCAAGAGCTGGTAATAATCGAAATTTGAAATTATTATATCATCGGTTTTTGATTTATTGAACTTGATGAAGTAATCAAGGGCTGGTCTCAATCAAAATTTGGAATTATTCTCGAAAAATTGATCAGCGAAGAGTTGGTTTGAACTTTCCCGCCTATTACCGGCTCTTGATCTCTTTCAGAAGAATCATTCGACGAATCAGGAGCCGATCATAATCGAAATTTGAGCTGTTTTTTCGCGGTGAAACTGGTTCGATCTGACCCAATTAGGTTTAAACCTGTACATTTTTGCGTTGAACCATTGACGTCATATTGAACCTCGTTTTAAAAAGTTCGAACCGGCCGGCAGTGGCGGACTGGCTGGGTCGGCAAATGCCGGCCGGGCCCCGATTTCTTAAAGGCCCTCGTGTGTGCAATCGCATATAAAAATATGCTCTAAAAATAGTCGGTATACGTCTCTGTTTTCCAGAATGTCTACCGAAGTCTGGCAACGCGGGAACTCGGAATCGTTTTGTCCACACTCCACTATCTCGCAACGGCCTAAGCCTTAGGGAGTTGAACTCTTGACCGATCCCACTTTCGTCAGTGCTTAGGCCATTCGGAATGATGGGCAAAGCTCTTGAGCTTCTCCTACACAAGATAGAAGGTCACAGAACCAAACGGCAACTCGTCTCGTTCAAATGAGTACTCTGGCAACAAAGGGTGCTAGGTCTTACAGTGAAAGGTTTTGTCCTGACTAGTTGGCCGGAACAGCAGGACCACTGCATTGCCACTATCCCAGAATTCTGGGCAACGAGGCGAACTCTGGCTTCATAAAGCTGGAATGGTGTAACAGCCCGAGTCCGTACGTCCGTACCTTGTTTTGGAAGGGGATTCATGACCCTGAACACAAGGAATATGGTGCATGTAGACTACATGAATGCACTGGGTAAATCTGGCGTATAGGAAGGCCTTATTAGAACAGAAACGAACATTACGAGTATTTGAGAATGCCTTTTGGACTAGTGAATGCACCAGCAGTTTTCCAGCGATTTTGGGTTCATTGCAATTTACTTCAATGATGGCCTTCATGTTGGTAGATCTAGACATTGAGACAATTTCTAAGGAAAAGGTTTTGGATTTCCATACATCTCAACCCATAGAACGCATGTCGAATAGATGAGATTCCGGATATATTGCTGAAAACTGTTGAGCCTGCTACAATGATTGCATAAAATTCTCACATTTTCCTTAGGAGGAAAAATTATCACGATACCATGAATGATCCTTCGTCGCTAAGACCTCAGATGCTCTTGCCTATTATGACAAAGGGCCTTGAACATCTTGATAAAAGAAGAATAATTATTTCAGTGGATCATGATCAGTTACATCAATTTGGATTTATCAAAGACAACGGAACACAAGAAGCAATAGACTCTCTACTGACCGAAGTAAGCCTAATAAATACAATGTTGCAATTTTTTTTGATGTAGAAGAGGCATTCAACAACGTGTGGAGGCCCTCTATGCTGAAAGAATCTGAGAAATTTAGTACCTATGGTTTTTTCGCAGATGGATGAAGAGACAAATTTTGGTGTGGAACTTGTACTGACATCACTATCGAGCAGTTTCTCATAAAGAATATGAAACTTCATGGAGGTCTCACACACGTTCGTGGTGTAGGAGAAGGTGGACATTGAGGTTGACCTCTGTACAACATGTTTGTGAACAGATCTAAAATTACTGTGGGGTTATATTTCAGTCATCAGAACAGCTTGAGCACTGAAGGACTCAAGAGTTAAACGGGACAACAAGGATGAGACCAAAAAGTCCTGAAAACCCTGATTTATATTCAATCAATACGTCATAGATGGCAGGTTTTTCGTGCATGTGGTACTATGGACCATGAATCAGATATTTGCTTCGATTTGTGACAATTACGTACAATACAGGGTGTCCCAATAAAAAGTGACCGATTGTAAATGCTTATAACATCTAAACCAGGTGTGCTAGCTACCTGCGATTTGCACCATTCGACTTCTCTTGGCCCAAAGTTTTTTTAAGTTAGTTGCAAATTTTTTTCACATTTATACAGGCCGAGCGAGAGGGCGAGTAAAAAAATGCCGTTTTTCAACATCGAAATTCTCCACTATTTTTATTGAAACACCATGTATGTTGCAATGCCAAAATTAGGAGTCATGTACAAGGTACTAATAAACATCGAACATGGAACTTGAAGTTTTAGCCCTGAAAAATTGAAATAGAAATCTAGCCCAAAAATAAATGCATTTTTTTAGGTTCAAAAAAGGTCGACGTTTATTGGCGAATGAATACCTTGGTCACGATTCTTGATTTTGGCGTTGCAACATACAGGGTGTTCCATTAAAAATAGTGGAGATTTTCGATGTTGAAAAACGGCATTTTTTTTACTCGCCCTGTATAGGTATGGAAAAAATTTACAACTGACTGAAAAAAAACTTTAGACCAAGAAAATTCGAATGGGGCAAATCGCATGTAGCTAGCACACCTGGTTTAAAAGTTATAAGCATTTGAAATCGGTCACTTTCTATTGGGACACCCTGTATATCGTATCCTGTATGGGTACCCTAAAGGCCTAAGCAGTGGTACAAAAAGTGCAGAGCTTATTAACAGATCAAAGAAACTGGCTTCAGCTGACATCCTGTTTGATCATACAATGATGCCAATGATACCAAATCCTTCTAACTTGAAAAACAAAAGTCAGTTCATATCAATTCTCATTGGGAGGTTTTCTTCGGCAGAAATTTCTTGAAAGCAGGCGAAAGAAGATGCTGATACCCTGAAGTTAATATTAGAAAAAGTTGGAAAATTGGAGTTAAATCATCTTTGAAAAATCCTGAAAAATACTTCAACAGCCTTTGTAACACCAGACGGGCATTACGAGTATTTGAGAATGCCTTTTGGACTAGTGAATGCACCAGCAGTTTTCCAGCGAACTATTTACGCGATTTGTCGCAATAAGGTTGGAAAAATGTCGATTTCTAAGTAGTATCATATCGTTTTCAAACTTTCAGGATTTATTAAAAAGGATGTTTTCATCAAACAAGACAAATTTGAAGTCGATCTTGCTTGACAACTATGAGCACTTTGAGTTTTATAATTGTAAAATGACATACTTTGGTTGTCGTTTCAGAAATTTTTCAACTAATTTTGAACTTATTAAAGCAAGTATATCTCAATTAGTAAAGTTCAGAATCTTTCTAAGATGATTTGAAAGTTGTTTCAAATGCGTAAAAATATACGGGAAATAGGCGACGATCTCCTAGAAAATAAAATTATTCAAAAATCACAATCACCATACGCAAGCCCTATATGTTGTTGGAAAGCAAGAAAAATGGTGAAGAGCGCATGTGTATCGATTATCGTACATTCAATAGAAAAACAATCGGAGAAAAATTTTGTTTACCACGCATTGGATGCGAGTTTTTTACAAGCTTGGATCTATCAAATCCCTATTCTCGATGATACAATTCCCAAAACAGCCCTTGTAACACCAGACGGGCATGAGTATTTAAGAATGCCTTTTGGACTAGTCAATGCACCAGCAGTTTTCCAGCGATTTTGTTTTATGTTGTGATTTTAACTTCAAAAATATAAATCTCATTCTACAATTTGATATTCTTGACAAAATGATAAAAAAAAACGAATACATCAAAAACAATTTCATCAGATAAGTACAAAACTACAATAATAGCCTAGGAACGTCCAAGGTCGCACCTGTATTATACCAATTATCCTACCTCCTTAATTTATTTTTCTGTTTGTTATGTTCACGATCTTGAGAAGAATTTTTAAAGGATGAGGTAACGTCGATTGTCGTTGTTTTTTTCTGCTGCCGCCGTTAACGCGATCAAGATCAAGGCTTGGCAAGAATAATTACTGGACCCCCATTACGAACCTGCCTTGCAAATAAACCTACATCCACTCCATTACGTTTATTAAATTTAAAGCTTAAGGCTAAAAGGGAGGGTATAATGTTTATTTGCTTTTTCCGCGGTGCACAAAATGACCAGATTTGCATAAATTCGAAGGTATTAGTAATTGATATTTGGCTATAAATTACATATGGATAGTGGAAATCCAAGAGATATGGCTTCAAATCAATTGTCCTATTAGTATTAAAGTTCCTGTTCACATAATGTAGAATTGTAATTTTTTTATGGTAGTAATTGAGGTCTCCTCTGAGCACTCAAAACTAAAACTAGGCCATCACGGAGCATACATTTCAAAGCACCAATTATGCACTGACAAAATTGAGTTTCAAACTATAATATTTGCCATTAAATATGCGATTCCCTCTTGGTGAAGTTACCCCCATCTAATTGGCAGTTCTAATTTCGAAACTTTTCAAATGTTTCATTTATTGTTCAAAGAACTGAGAAAAGGCGCAAAAGGGAAAATCCTTTTTCAAGTTAATGCCTGCGGGAGGCACAAATCTATCAGAGCAGCAGGCTAGAAAAGTAGGTATCAACGTTCAAATGTGAATTTACGGCTTTGCCACTGTGCGAGAGGCTGGGACTGGGGGGGAAAAGGCAGACGAAAAACATCCCCATTTATACCCGGGTGCGGTGTTGTTGCTGCAAAATCGAAACGGATATTCGATAGCAATAAATCCTAATCAGTGTCGAGACATCCAATGATGCTACAGGATCTGCTTTTTTTTTGGACCGACTTATAAAATATGGAAAATCAAAAAATAGCAAATATTTAAGTGGAATTTACTGGCAAAAAAGGTATTTCAAAAGTTGATTACAAACTCCTAATACAAGAACGTAGCATTTGCAAGCAAAACCTGCAACTATGGTTTTTCAGAATTGAATTTATTTGGTAATTCTCCATAAGACAGGTGCCTCACGACCAAACATGTTTATAACGTTGCACGGTCAATGGAGCGTTTTAGTCTTATATAGAGGAAAAATATCCTTTCATGTAGCAGCCGCTCTTTTTTATCGATTGAACGACGAGCAAAAAAAAAAAATCAAAGCCCGATATGACATTTCAATCCAAAGAATAATGAGAACACAGAACGAAATGAAAATGAGATTACTGACCAATTATCAGTTTTTTTGAGGACGTGAGATTCCAAACACTGTGGCATCCGGTTTTTGATTTGGAATTTTTGGCGTTAGTGGATCATGTTTGCACAAATGGGATTTTTGAGCCTTTGATCTAGAGAAATTCAGGTAAAATCAACACGAGTTCTCATCTCTGGTTCGGTTATATATCGTTTTCAATCAGATATCATTGAAATTGGTATGAGACTTTCTATATGGAAATTATTGAATGTTTGCTGAAATCTTCAAAGTTGCTTCTTTTTCGGGATAAATATTAAAAGACAAGATAATGTTAATGGAAAACGCATCATCTTAAGCCGATTTCCGGATACAAAAGGGAAAATTCTTTGTATTTTTCTAAGTAATTAGCCTGCTTCAGTCTCGTCCCTGTCTTTTCCAGCACTCAAAAGCAATTTTTAATTTTCAATTTTTACATAAAGAAAATGTCGTGTCTTCAGTTTTTGTACGTTTCCTTTTCATCCAGAAAAAAATAATCTGCAATGGGAGTTTTTGATCCAAGCTATCCATTTAATTGGAAATATATTCAACATAAATCTTTGTCAAATTATCTGAAAACAAACTATAAATTTCCCATGAATGTCACAAATCATAAAATAATTACGCCTTTAAAAGGACATATAAGTCTTGTTTTGAATATATATACTTAACAACATTTTTGAATTAATTGAAGGATTTTTATTAAATAGTCATAAATCCCGATAACTCAACTTGATATTATTTACCATAGGGGAGAAACTACTCTCAAAGCTAATAGCTCAAATTATCAATGCTTTACTTCGACAGGAATATTAATGTTTGCTTGTTTCCAAACTATGTGTCACTCTGAGTCTGATTGACGACACACAGTAGTTATTATTTATGGGTATTGACTAGGAGCTATTTCATTGCAATATCCTTGAAGAGTTTTCAACAAATGTCTTCCAGCAAACAGTAAAGTGATATCCAAAAGCAATCGTCTTTTGGAAATAAGATCAGATATAGCGAACCGTCTTTGTAGGTTTGTTTTGTTGTCGCTAACAGAATCGGAATGGAGATTATGCTTTCGGGGCATAATTATTTGGTAACATCAGATTCAGACATATCTCAAATGGATTTGTTGGATGTTAATTAACTTTTCGTTATATTTATTAGTAAAATATTAGAAGTATTCGTATTTCGCTTGAAGGGGACAGCAAAATAAATTTAATCCTAAAAAAATCGATCAGTTGACCCTTCTTACATCTATAGGGTCTAAGAAAAAGGTGTCGGAAAATGTATATGGGGAGAGCAAATGAGATATTGAGGAACGGAGAGGGTTCTAACCTTTCAGAGACTCTGATAGTTTTTCAAATCACCTAAAAAAATGATTTCACTTTATTTACTTGACCGGAAAATGGAACTTCGTCCTACTAGGAGCCAAACTTGGCAAGCGTTTGTTGAATAAAATGATATTCATATCAGTGAACCACGAATTAATGAACTAAACTTTGATTATGAAGCCTTTACTTTGCTTATTTATATTGCAGTTATGGATGACTGAATGTGTTTATAACTTAATAGTTTGTATGTATAAACAAAGAGAGAATGGTTTACTTTATGAAAGGGGTTTTTTTTTGATGTAGCAAGAAGTTGGTTCAATAACTGAAAATATTGAAAAAATCTAAGTCTGAATTTTTCGATTGAGTCGATTTGGATTAATAATTATTACAGAAAGATGCATTAGGTACCGGTAAGTACAATAATAATTTCTTTATCTAGAAATTTCTAAAGAAATTAACAATTGAGCCAATGAAATAAGTCTGATGCTCTTCATTCGTTAATAAATTTTTCTTGAATTCCAAATTTTGATTGCCTGACTACCCTGAGTTGATGTTCAGTAGATCAAGAATCGATAATATATCGATATCAAATTTTGGTTATTAAAGACTCTTGATTCGTTGAATGTTCCCCCTGAACTTGATCCGCTGATCAATTTTTCGAGAATAATTCCAAATTATGATTGAAACCTGTTCTTGATTGCCTGACTACCCTGACTTGGTGTTCAATATATCAAGAATCATTAATATATCAATATCAAATTTTGATATTGATATGAGCTATTGAAAGTGCTATGACATTAAAAGAGCCTGTCTTTATCATGGGAGACTTCAATAACCCTGAAATCACCTGGGCCAAACTAGTAATTCATCCACACAACCAGTGCAGTTATGACTTCCTGGAGAGTTACAAAAACCATAGAGGACACCAACATGTTAATTTCCCAACAAGAATTAGAAATGCCCAGCAATCACTTCTAGACTTACTTATAACTAATGAGAAGAAACTAATTTTCGATATTCACCAACATGCACCGCTGGGAAAAAGTGACCATGTAGTATTTACAGTCACAACGCAATTTCAAGTTATAACTCAGCCAACTCACAAGGTTTACAAGAGACAGTTCTGGAAAGCTGACTATGATGCTGTCAACAACTCACTCCAGCAAAAGTTACATAAGGTGGGGTAGCAAATCAAATAAATATTGATACCTTCTATGAAGCAATCAATATAAACATACCAATAAGACCTCAAAAAGTTAACAAGCAAAAACCGCGGCTGACTAAAGAAGTATTTAAAGAGATCCAGCTAAAAAGAAATCTGTGGCATAAATATAAAATATCCAAAACTGAAGATAACTATCAGAGGTATCAACAACAAAACAACAAAACTAAAGCGTGCATGGTGAGGGCAAGAAAAACTTATGAACATAATCTACTGACAAACGACAAACAATTCTATGCATACATTACTCGCACCCTCACCTCCAAGCATAAATACTTTAACATAGTTGGCAACCCAACAACCATTTGAGACAAACCAAGAAATTGCAGAATGCTTTGCAGAGCAATTTGAAAGCGTATACACATTACTGGATTAGAACACAAATAAACCCGCACTTCCCTTGGAAACCTACTCCAGGACTGAAACTACCAACATCATATTCACAGCAGAAAAAGTAGAAACCGCAATCACATCGCTAAAACCAAACTCTAGTCCAGGGCCTGATGAGATCACACCAGTTTTTCTCAAGAACTGTGTACAGGTGCTGAAGGAGCCTTTGTCTCACTTGCTTAACACCATAATGAGCACAGGAGATTTCCCTTTAGCCTGGAAGAGGGCTGTGGTAACACCAATATACAAGAAAAGAAACAAACAGCATTCAGAAAATCATAGACCAATCAGTCTAACAAGTGCACTATGTAAATGCATGGAAAAAATAGTAGCCAAAGAACTCACTGATTTTCTACTTGAAAATGTTTTACCTGCTGAACAACATGGCTTTCTCCCAGGAAAATCAACATTAACAAACCTGCTAACCAGACTAAATTAATGGACCCTGGCTGATGACAACCATGAACCAATTGATGTCATTTACCTTGATTTTGAAAAAGCACTCGACAAGGTGCCAACAGAATTTTTGCTTTATAAATTGGAACATTTTGGAGTTAGAGGTAAACTTCTGAGGTTGTTGGAAGGCTTTCTCACTGTACGTACCTTCCAAGTAAATGTGGATTCCCCACTTTCAAAGGAGCACAAAATACACAGCGGTGTTCTGTAACATCATAGGATAGATCCCATCTGTCCATGTTGACTTATATGGGTCAACGGTGTTTATAGCCCACTTGACTTTTTCATAGTTGACTACTTTTTTCGAGGTCAGCCAGTCGTTCCTGAATGCTCTTCGAATTCTAGGCTCATTCCATGTCCACTGAGTCTGATCAACTATCTTTGAGCCGGGTTCTTAGGAGTCCCCTAGCCATCTCTTCCCCCGTCTTTGTATATTCACCAAGGTTAAGAACAACCTTGGTGAATACACAAAGACGATTTGACACACACGATTTGATTGTTATTTTCGGGCTCTTTGACAGAGTTCTTTGTAGACTAGCACAATCTTAAGTACTTTCTATATGCTCACAGTACTTCCTTCAAGACCTCTTCTGGGATCCCCTCAGCTCTCTCAAACAAGAAAACAAAACTTGATGGAAAAGGCAGCGAACAAGGATAAGCTTACGGTGCAGGGGAGAGATACCTTAGTACTGGTCGAGAACACTGGTGGAGGTGCAGACCAGACCCGACTATTATTAGACGACTGTACAGCGCCCCTGGTAGGGAACCAAGTTGAGGTGCAAGTGCCAACGACTGGAACTAGAAACAAAGTGTGGTCTATATATTTTGGGCAACGGAACGTCGTATCGAGATCGCCACCCCAAAATGTAAAATACGAAGGAGACACTCCATAGGAGAACCGACTCACCGACAAACCGAACAGGACCTGGCAGCAAAAAGGTAACGAACCCACACACTGAACTCCAGCAGCACAGAAGAAGCTAGCTACAAGACCAGAGAGTAGCGAGTACTGCATCTTAAGGCAGGCTCTAGACGCAGTCACCAAGTTGAACGAAACCTTAGAAACACATATTGAACAAAATACGAAAGGAAACATAAAAAGAATTAGCGAACAAACTAAGAAAACAGGTAAAGGCCTTAAGCGGAACCGCGATTTCGGAGTGACTCAAACAATACAGATTTGATTCTCCTGACAACCCACCAATAAAAAAGAAAAAAGACAAGGAGATAAATGACGGATACGGGCGGATCTGCCCTTCATGTGAAGTGAAACCCACAATCCCAACAAGTGTAGGCTGCGAAACCAATCCCGACTCCATTACCACAGAACAACAGCTGCCGCGTAAGCTAGAGACGAGAAGCACCCAAACCAGAGAGTGGAAAGACGGCAGAGACTACGTAGAAAAAGGACTCTCTACATACGACCAATGGTCAAGTATCAAACTAATGGAGTGGGAGGAGGATCTATTCACCAATACTACCATCAAAGTAGGCAATCCTATACAGACCGATGCTGCAACGGTAAAAGTGGTCATGGTGGAACTGAACTATCCCAAAAGCATACAAACCATGTACCTAGAACTAATGGACTCAACCGAAGAATTCGCTACCCTTAGACAAAGCTCTAGCTGGCCAAACATTATAAATCAACAGAAAATAATTAGAATAACGCTCACGAATGGCCACAAGGATCTATGGGAGAAGATCCAAACACTGAAAAAAGAAGCAGAAGCATTTTATTTAAATTGGCGCCCTTTTTACTGGTCTATCTGCCCTTAAAACTCATATGCTCGTCCGGACAGCGAACTGACCATAGGAATAAGTCATTTCGTGCTCGATAAAAAATATACAATATTAAATGACCTCGTTGGGTCTATCTGCTCTGAAAATTCATAGGCTCAATCGAACAGCGAAGTGAACACAGAAATGAGGCACTCTAACTAGGCAATGCTCAGTAAAAAATATAGAACGACCTCGTTGAGTCTTCTGCTCTGAAACTTCATATGCTCAGCCGAACAGCGAACTGAACCCGGAAATGAGACATTCCAATTGAGTACCTAATGCTCCACAAATAGCCCTACAGCGCATCAACCTGTGCAACAGCTCTTCTTGAACTTTTTCAACGTGGATCTGTTTTCCACTGCCCGGTTCTCATGGCCTTATTAAATTCTGTTCTAGTTTTTTTCCTTAACTTTGCAAAGCTCTCGTTCCACCAGATCACTTTCCTGGTGGATGTCCCTGTTGTAAGTGGGCAATTTTCATTGCAGGTTGATGATTGCATCATTAAATTGATCTACAACCGTCTTCAGTGTCTCTTATTGTCTTCGTGATGTTCGGCAGACTTTGTCTGCGTCTCAGTCTGTATTTCGAGGGTTTCGAGAATTTAATAAAGTTGTTTGCCTTGAAATTTCAAATTTGATGTATCTGTGATCCGAGCAACTTGTTCCATTAGATACATGCCAGTTTGTGACGTAATTACTCATGATTCGAGGCTAGTGTCACATCGATTACCTTCTTCCTAGCATATGTATGTTACTGAACTCAGAAAAAGTAACGACTGCAGAAAATGAGGACATTTATAACAAGGATCTAGTTATAAAAATAATTATTCCCTTTCTTCCTCAATTTTCTTGGCTAAAAATTTTGATCAGATGAAGAGATGTGATGGTAGGTATCTTGAATCTTGCATGGAAACATTGAAAATTAGAGATTCCGAAGATTAAACACTATATCCTAACGTCAGCACCACCTAAATGTGAGCCCTGAAGGCATGGAGGCTGGAAACATTAAGAATATCTGGATCAAACGTAAAAATTGTTACAGAACCAGCTATTGCCCCTTTTTGGGCTTTAGTCAAACCGCACCAGGGATGCCAAAAGTTTTTACTTTGACTGACTGTAAAAATTAACCATTAGGTGTTGGATCATTTGAGCCTTGTTTTGGATTAGGGGTGCCTTGATTCCCATTTATACAAATAAAACGCTAAAATAGAATAGTTATCAATTTAATTAATAAATGAAAGTAATTCGATATAGTTAGCAATCAAATCCTATCTGTAAATTCCTAATTGGACGTCCAGTCGAACTGCAAATTTTATACTAATCTAAAGTAAATGAGTATCTTGATTTATGAAAGGTAGGGAAATCTGATAATGACAATAATATCATTTATGGTTAAATGTTAAGTGAAAGAAAACACAAATTAACTAATTAAATGCACGAGAGCACAACATAAATAATTCGTCAATTTCAATCAGTTCACTGTAATCACAAAATGTTTATTGATCCTTGAAAGTTCTTTTATTTATTGAGAGTTAACAATTTGAGCACTTTTCTGCTGTAGTCTGTAAACAATATGTGCAAGAAAAGTCTTTCTATATGCTCAGTTTCTATATACAAATGTACAAGTGTTAATTTCACGAGTGTGAAAACCAAATTTCTGCATTAAACGTTAGAAAACACTTCAATTTATAGTGCATTTCAAGCGAATCACTGATCAGTATTTATTGTTCGACTGTTAGAGAAATTGTAACAGTCCCTCTTGCTTTATCCGGTTCATGCAGATAAATCCACAAGGCGATTATTTATCCATTTATCACCACTATTCACACTGGCAGCTAGGGAATTTTCCAATGAGATGAAAAGAAAACACAAGGATATATAGGTGCGTTGGAGCCCGTCGAGAGTGAGAGAGATAGTGCCAAAAACAAGCGTAGGAGAGAATTTTGCTCGTCCTGACTTGCAACAATTAGGGGTTAATTACATGAATTGTAATCGATAATATAGACCATGTAAAACCTTGAGACACAGAGAGTAGTATTTTACTATAAATCGCGCGTGCTAACTGGGGTGTTTTGGGGGTTCTGCTCCTGGAGAGCATTAAGAGGGCGAGAGGGTGCGAACTCTTCGCTTGTTCTAATAGTACTGAAAAATGTGCGTTGACTAGACTCTGCCAGGGGAGTGGGTCGCAAAAATCTAGAAAACAATGTGGCGGCTGACCAATCACAGCAGCGAGAAAGGTCCACTGCCTCATAAGATAATGAAAAAACTTGTAATTTTATTGGTTCAAAGTGTTATTGTTGCCGGTTTTACAGGATAAATAGTCCAGCAATAGCATCTATTTTTAGAATATTATTTTTATGGTTAATAATGGAAATTGAGATAATATTAAATTAGAAATAATAAAAATTAAACCTGTTGTGGGTTATTTCCGCAACAAAAATATTGTGTCTTTTGATAAAACTGAATCTTTCATTCTACCATGCAGATATAGATACAAATCCAGGGTTCTGATCGATTTACTGAAGGAACAATAGCATTACTGGGTAGACTTGTCTACTTGGGTAGCTGTGGGAAGATTTGGGCAATGGTGTGAAGATCTGACCTGTTCTTGAAAGCTGGATAATTCTGAACTCCTGTGTGAAGATTGCTCTATCTGGGCTGTTCTGAATAAATTGGTCAATCTGGTTGCTTCTAGAAAGATTCATCCTTCAGAGCAGTTTTGGAAAGTTTCAGTGCACAAGCTGTTCATAAAAGATTCGTCAATCCAACGTTGTGGAGCTTTTGTTTCAGCTGAACCATTCAGGGAACATTCGTTCATTTGGCCTGATTTTGAAGTAATTAAACATCTTTGCTGTTATGAAACCATCATCTATTCAAGAAACATTCGTCTATTTGGCCTTTGGACATAATTTTCTGAAACCTTGAAAATGGAGCTGAACAGCTCCTAAACATGAGCAGACCAGACATCAGATTGGTGGTGGGACTGCTCACAGGACACTGCCCAGTAAAATACCATTCAAGGTTAATGGGCAGAGCGGAAGACGATCTCTGCAGATTCTGCTCAGACGCAATAAAAACCGCAGAGCACCTGCTCTGCGAATGCCCAGCCCAATTCTGCAAGAGGCTCAAATTCCTCGAGGGGGCAACACTGTCACCAGAAGAAGTGGACCAACTGACACCCAGGAAAATAGCTTCCTTCGGCAGAAGTCTACGCTTCCTGGAGACAAATTAAGATGTAGAGTCATGCACAAAATATCTGTAAAGGTAGCTGAAAAGCCGAAACGACTCCCCCGAAATCTACAATCTACAAACTTCAAAATGAAAAATCAATTATCTCCAATTCTATCGTAAATAGGAATCCGAAATTTCCAGTAAAGGAACACAGAACCTGAAAATTGTTTCTGCTACAAAAATACTTCAATTACTGAATCTTTGAAGTTTGAAACTGTTCCGATTGCTTGGAGTATTTTTCGAAAGCTCTCAAATGTAATTTGACAGGAATTATTTAAGTTTTTCTAACATCTAGTTGGAAAAAAAATCATTATTCCCTTTCTTAGACTCATATTCACTCCTCTGCACTAAAAATACTTTAATTACTAAATCTTAGAAGTTTGGAACCGTTCTGTTTGCTTAAAGTATTTTTCAGTAGCTCTCAAATGTTCAGCTCATTTGGATTTATAGTTACATAACTTGTGATTTTTTACTGGTAAACTTATCCATGTTATTTTTTGGGTAACTATCATACCTAACAAACGACAAAAACTTGTGTGGTTGTTCAGCTAGCAAAAACAAAAATTACATTTTGCGGTCGCTAATTTTCAATTAATTTTCAAATTATTTTTCGTCTAGAAGTTTTGTCCTGCGGTCAGTTTGGTATAGATGAGCGATTTTTGTTGCAAAACTTCAACTTTTTTTCAAGTGATCGAAACTCTGAAAAACGAAAATAATGCCCATTAGGTTTTACGTCCCCAATACCCTCAACAATTCTATTAGAATAGGTCCCGATATACGAATAAACACGCTGACCTAATGCCGAACTCTCACGATAAGTCCATTTGAGAAATTGCCTTTGGGACAAATTACCGGAATAGGAATCGGGGGAGGATCTACACTCTACGCCTTTTCATTTTGCCCTTCTTTCCTATAGAGATTTCTTTTTTGCAAAGAAAACAACACGTGCTTATCCATGCGATAATGAACAACAGTTGCAATAAAAAAATTATAATTGTAGTTTTTTCTTTATACACCAGAATACCCATAATGAAGTAATCGAATCTAACGGTGTTGCGCTCGTTTTTCTATTGCATATTTCACATTTTTGTATTGCAGCAATAGCGCAAGAATTATTTATTAGATGTTATATTTTGTTGTCGCCCTTGAATTTGTTTGCCAGTTATTTGAATACTTGTGATATTTGTCATCAGACTTACTTATCAATACAGAGTGATGTTTAATAAGAGTTTTCTAAAAGTTTCAAGGGACTACGTACTTAAACTTTCATTGTTTTTTCTTGCAGTTCTTGCTTAGACTGTTACTAAGAGAGGACGATGATAGTAGGTACTTTTAAGCTGATATGTACTTGAAAAACAGTAACTTCTATTGAGAGACCCTATAAATACAAAACTTCCAAATTAAGATGTAACTATGTGTGATTCCAAGAAAAAAGTAAAACCAATTTTCCAAAGAAATTTCTACTTTGTAGTTCACAGTTCGTCGAATACCCATCTACGGTTCAATGAATAATACAACAGAACATACATCAGTCGAATTCTTACACCTAAATAAATACA